AAACAAACAGGTGGTCACACGGAGCAAAAACATCACACATTATAAAATCCCATACGGTGAGTGTGTTTGTTGATGGGGAACTGCTTCTTGCAAAGATAATGAACCAAAACTTAGATGTGAAAAACTTCCAGATGATTTTTTTTTATTTTTACCAGTCTCATCCCACACATGTAGGCAATTAGAGATCCAACAGTTCATGGCTTCGCTGCAAAGATTTCAAAGCGATTCCTGAAAGTAATCAACACATTTCAGACACACTGACTTCTGAAGCCATCAGTGTGTGAAATTAGAGATTATAAACCAAAGGTTAAAATGATATTTTTTTTAACTGAAAGGTCTTTTGCAACAGCCGTAATTGAGCTGCGTCCAAAACCGAAGATTCTGCAACACATTCCAGAAAGTTTAATCATCTTGTCTGTGTTTGCTGTTGTGCAGCTCTCCTGCACTCCTGCCTCCTTAGCTTTAGTTTCTGTGGCTTCCGACACGTTCGCTTCACCCTCAGGCAGTCTTCTGAATCAAGACAAGTGTTGGAGCTTGATTTGGGGACAAGATAAAAAAAATTGCTTCCAACTGAAATAATTGGGTAAAAGTGATTTTCTTTTAAACACATATTTTGCTGCACTTTAAACTTTGAAAATTGCAAATAATTTAGTGTTTGAATCCCACAGTGCTGCCAAGTTTCCTTTTTTGCTTTCTATTTTTTCCAGTTAGTAAAATGCCATAAAGTGACTTCTTAGTTTTTGTCGTTCTTGTGCCATTTGTTTTTCAAATTTGACCCATTTACAGTAATCACCATGCTCTCTAATCTGATCATTGGTGCACACCTAAACAGCTGATTTGGTTTGTCGTTAAAACAAAGATGAGTTGAGCTGAAAAGCTCAAATAATGGAGGTTGGCATTTTTTCTCTCTCAGTCTTTTTGCTTAGGATGATCAGTGTCGACATACGCAATCATCCAAACACAGCAATGACAGATGAACACGGTTTTCACCAAAATCCTGCGATCAGTCAAAAAGGGGGACAAAAGTTGTTATAATGGAGCACTGTGAACAATAAAATGGATCAAAATCCATGTGAAAACATGCTGAAAAAGAAGCTGACTATTTGGAAGAGTGCACATTTTAATACGAGTTTTACATCTCAGTTCACTGTTGCCTCTTGGTTCGAGTGTGACAAATGATAATTGCAGCTAAAATCATTATACAATAAAATCARAACACAAATTTGAAATTAACTCCATTACATTTTCATGGAAAAAGTGAGACTTGATTGTWTTTAAACAACATACACATTTATAGACACATCCCAAATAAGAATAAATACCAGATTTGGTTTTATCAACTAAATGTGTGTTGGTTGGTCTTCAAGCCTACAGTTGTGGATCCTCTATAAACAAAAACTACCTCTAACTTTGACTGTTCAAGCCATGTGAGTCACTGTGACTCAGCTGCTTCAGCCCACAGCACAAGAACACTCAGGATCAAACATGTAGGCCTGAGATGTTTTAAACTAAATTAATGAGGGTGCATCAGAACTCTAATAGATGGAGGAAGCCAGGATTGTTCTCWATTTCTGGACAGTTTGGATTTACTGAGTCCTCGAATCTGAGCAAGGTTTTTCCATCAGCATCAGTAGAATTACATGAAAGCTCATTGTTTATAACCAACAGCGATAGATAGATAAGTTTGGACACACCTCATTCAAAGAGCTTTTTTTTCATGACTATGAAAATTGTAGATTCACACTGAAGGCATCAAAACTACGAACCAACATGTGGAATTATGTACTTTACAAAAAAGTGTGAAACAACTGAAAATATGTCTTATATTCTAGGTTCTTCAAAGTAGCCACCTTTTGCTTTGATTACTGCTTCACACACTCTTGGCMTTCTCTTGATGAGCTTCAAGAGGTAATCACCTGAAATGGTTTTCACTTCACAGCTGTGCCCGGTCAGGTTTAATAAATGGGATTTCTTGCCTTTATAAATGGGGTTGGGACCATCAGTTGTGTTGTGCAGAAGGTGGATACAGTACACAGCTGATAGTCCTACTGAATAGACTGTTAGCTGCTTTTTTCTTGCCATAATACAATTTCTAAGTAAAGAAAAATGAGTGGCCATCGTTACTTTAAGAAATGAAAGTCAGTCTCACAAAAAAAAAAAAAAGAAAAGAAAAGAAATGGTCAGTCAGTTGGAAAAATTGGGAAAACTTTGAAAGTGTCCCCAAGTGCCGTCGCAAAAACCATCAAGCTCTAAAAAGAAACTGGCTCACATGAGGACCGCCCCGGKAAAGGAAGACCAAGAGTCACTTCTGCTGCGGACGATAAGTTCATCCAAGTCACCAGCCTCAGAAATGTCAGGTTAACAGCAGGTCAGATTAGAAAACAGGTCAATGCCACACAGAGTTCTAGCAGCAGACACATCTCTAGAACAACTGTTGAGACTGTGTGAATCAGGCCTTCATGGTAAAATAGCTGCTAGGAAACCACTGCTAAGGACAGGCAACAAGCAGAAGCGACTTGTTTTGGTTAAAGAACACAAGGAATGGACATTAGACCAGTGGAAATCTGTGCTTTGGTCTGATGAGTCCAAATTTAAGATCTTTGGTTCCATCCACCGTGTCTTTGTGTGACGCAGAAAAGGTGAATGGATGGACTCTACCTGGTTCCCACCGTGAAGCATGGAGGAGGAGGTGTGTTGGTGTGGGGGTGTTTTGCTGGCGACACTGTTGGGGATTTATTCAAAATTGAAGGCATACTGAACCAGCATGGCTACCACAGCTTCTTGCAGCGGCATGCTTTCCATCCGGTTTGTTTAGTTGGACCAGCCTTTATTTTTCAACAAGACAATGACCCAAAACACACCTCCAGGCTGTGTAAGGGCTATTTGACCAAGAAGGAGCGTGATGGGGTGCTGCGCCAGATGACCTGGCCTCCACAGTCACCAGACCTGAACCCAATCGAGATGGTTTGGGGTGAGCTGGACCGCAGAGTGAAGGCAAAAGCCCCAACAATTGCTAAGAACCTCTGGGAACTCCTTCAAGACTGTTGGAAGACCATTTCAGGTGACTACCTCTTGAAGCTCATCAAGAGAATGCCAAGAGTGTGTGAAGCAATAATCGAAGCAAAAAAGTGGCTACTTTGAAGAACCTAGAATATAAAGACAATTTCAGTTGTTTCACACTTTTTTGTTCAGTATATAATTCCACGTATTGATTCAGTTTTGATGCCTTCATTGTGAATCTACAATTTTCATAGTCATGAAAATAAAGAAAACTCTTTGAATGAAAAGGTGTCCAAACTTTTGGTATGTAGTGTGAGAGATACAGATTAAATCCATCTATCTGACAGACAGAATATTATTGATATTCATTAATGCCCTGGGTGTTCACAGGTTAGTATGATTCCTTTTCAGAAATCCTCTGCAGGTCACTGGTTAAATTAGATTTTAAGTGGATTCTTAGTGATGAGTCTCTGCAGGGATCAGGTGAGGACTGAAGTGGAAATTTGGATTTTTTTAAGTGAGAATATGATTGGAGAAGGTGGCCCAGAATCTGTTTTAATAAACACTTTTATACTGAAGCTGTTTTCACTGTCATTCAGAAATCTAGAGCAACTCTTAAAGTCTATTTTTGACAGATTTTTATGAAGAACAAAGCTGTGTGTAAATATGCTGGTGTATATAATCTAAAAGTCACAATAAAAGATATTAAAAGCTTAAAAGTAGTTCTGAGCCTAAAAATTGGCCTTTGAACTTTTCTATACAACTGAACGAGTTGTACATTTGAAAACTTTTCCATTTTGTACAACGACTGTTGAAAACTTTTTCACGATGCAAAAGAATCAAACAAAAATAAAAAACATCCTTGCATGCCAAAATGAATGTCACCAGTTTAACCACACTACAGCAAACTCTCTGCAGGTCAGCAGCTAAAAATGGAAGCAGCAGCCATTTATGTGACAAAGCCAATGCACCTTAATGCACGCGATTAAATTTTTAACGCACAAAGTTTCCGTGGCAACAAACATCAATGATGCAAAGGTCGTCATCGTTTGCAAACCTCTTGGACAAATGCAACATTTTCTTTCTGTTTAAGTCAACTAAAAAATCCAAACATTGAAGATTTTAGGATCACTGAGACGATTCTGCTTGATAGTTAATAGTAAAACTTTTCCCCCCACATGCTGGCATCTCCCAGTTTTGATTACAACATTGGGGCATTTCTATCAACAGAATACAGAAATACGTTTCTCCTTTTTCTGCCCATTTAGCTTAGTAAAATGACTAAATTAAAATGATTCCCACTGTCAGTAGGTTATGCAGATTTTTAGCTAGCCCCATCACATTTGTTTTGTGCAAACTTTTTTTAAATCCAGCATAAGACAGGATTCTGTTTGATATGAGATGTGTGAGGAAAAAATGTTACATGTTTATAAATCAACTTTCGAACCCTGACAGCTCCAAACATCTTGCTAGAAGCTGAGGCAAATGCTTCCGGTTTGTTATTCTTTTTACTGTGAAGCTAACTGAAGCATGCATTTTCCCCTCATGTTATGACAAAACCTGGTCCATGTTCAAATATTCTTTTTGGAGGGTAAAAAAAAGTAATTTCAGAGCAGTTTATGGCTATTTTTTGATTTCTTTTTAAGCCAGTCCAGTTTACAGCGTCGCTTAGTCCTTATTCTGTGTACATTTTAGATGACATCTTTTAGTTTCCAGACAGTGAGTTTTCTGCTTATGTTCTGATGATACTTTAAAAGCCACCCTGCATAAATCCATTGAAGGCTTAAAAACCTGCATAACTTTTATTTTAGATACACAAGGACGTTGCAACAAACAAGACAAACTAAGCTTTTTGTTACATGTTCTACTTTAAACCAAAGGACTGAACTTAACTGTTGCACTTTCCACCATTTAGAAATGATGCACTTGGATATGATGCAATTAAAAGTCTGGAGAAATCATGAAAACAAAAACTGTGGACAAAACAATAAAAACCAAAGTGGCGTCAGAAATAGTTTAATTTTCAGTCAAAGCTTACAAAAAGTAAAAAAGTGCTGATGCAAACCACCTCCTCACCTTTGAATAAAGAGATTTTCAGAACTTTGTGAAACAATCCCTCATCCAAGTTGTGAACAACGTTAACATGTGATTTGTTTGAATCAACCAAATACAAAAAGACTAAAACTTTTCTAATGTCAAATATACTATTAAATGCCATTTTTTTTACATATTTAAGTGTCCCACATTTTACCTTTTATCTAAAAAGATTCCATTTTATTATTTTTAAAACATGGCATATTCATTTAATGAAGGAAAACATGACTTTCTAGACAAATAGCCTGATTATTCAGTGCTCTGTTTTTTTTACATATTTAAGTGTCCCACATTTTACCTTTTATCTAAAAAGATTCCATTTTATTCTTTTTAAAACATGGCATATTCATTTAATGAAGGAAAACATGACTTTCTAGACAAATAGCCTGATTATTCAGTGCTCTGCTGCCTCAAAACTTTGAAAAGACAGTCAGCAAAGAGCCAGCCAGCACCACACATGATGCCAGGAAGAAGATGGAGCAGTTTACAGCACCCTGAGGGAGGAAGGAACAAATAACGATCAGATCTCTTGGCCCTCTTACTGTGAAATTCAGTACACATTTAATGAGCAAATGCATCATCCCAAACAATTTGACTTTTTGCTCCTGAACACACTGGTGTGTCAGGGGTTTCCCCCTCTTTTCTTTTACCGTATAACGTTAAAATGTTTTAAAAGAAATCGTTGATCCTTACCTTAATTTCTTTAAACACCAASGATCCCCACAGCGCAGCAACTAGACCGTAACCCTATTGTAAAGAAAAACCAGTGATTACAGACGGACTGATTCAAATGTTTATTTAAAAAGGAATACAGTTTATTACTCAAAATRAACTTGTTAAAATCAAAGACTAAAGTGTCAATCTGGCTGTTTTGACATTTCATTCCCTGTGCACAGCATGCAAGGTAAAAGTATATTTTCAATAAAATCTGTTCTATAGAAAATAAATTCAATACTTATGCACTATAGGCTTTAAATATGGAGGACATTATAGAGGACTGTAACTGACATAACTAGAAATAAAAGAAATATATAAATGGACGAATAAACACACTTAAAATGCACCAAATATTTATTATTAGAACTTTACCTCATGTTTTATAATTTMAACTTCCTGATTTTTTCCAACTTAGTTCCAAAAATTTTTACAACATAATTTACATTTAGWGTTTTTTGGTTCATGCTCCTTCCTTTCTGTTGACCAATAGGAAAGGAGCTGACCCAAGAAGCTCCACCCACCTCTTTTGTATAATGGAGGCATAAATGAATTGGTAAATTAAAAAACAGGAGACAAATGTAAAAGCTACACATGGTTAYAAATAGGCTTGTGGGAAAAATTTAACAAAAATTATCATTTATGAGACAGATGCATGTACATGTAAAAAACTTTTTTTAAACAGTAAAATGTAAATTATGTTCTAAACTATATGGATTTGTTGGAACCAAGCTGTAAAAATGAGTTTGAAGGTCAATTTAATTATAAAACATGAAGTTCTAATTTTAATTAATTGATGCTTTTTTATTGCCCATTTATTTGAACCATTTATATATTTCTGCTTTTGTTTCTAATTATGTCAGTTTCGGCCCTCCATATTTAAACCCACAGATTAAGAAAAAGGACCAACATACTGTATAACGGGTTTTCCTCTGACTATGCCCCCTTAACTTGTGRGGTGCCACAGGGCTCAGTGTTGGGTCTGCTTTTGTTTTCCCTTTTACATTACTGCACTTGCTGGCATCATTCAGTCCTTTTCAGATATTTATCACATTTATGTCGATGATATTCAACTGTATTTTTTATTTAGACCACATCAACTGGACAGGTTGGCCATCCTCGTGMAATGTTTGTCCCGCATCAGTGGCTGGCTTTCCAACAACTTCCTGGTTCTTAACACCAGTAAGACTAAAATTATGATTATTACTCTGTCACTTGAACCAAAATGTTAGCCAGAAGATATCATCTTTTCCCAGTTAGTGAAATAAGGTAAAAAATGTGTCACATTTGACTCAAAACTAGGCTTCRACTCACACATTAAGGCCGTTTTCCGTTCTTGTTTTTTTTTTCCATTTAAGAAACATTTGTAAGATTAGACATATGGTCTCCAGAGTTGATCTAGAAAAAATCCTTCATGCTTTTGTCTCATCTCATCCGGACCACTGTAATACCCTTTTTAAATGTCTGGATAAATCCACAATTTCCCGTTTGCAATTAATTCAAAACAAGCAGCCAGACTTCTCACCAAATCTAGCAAATTCTGCCACATCACTCCTGTTTTATATTCATTACATTGGCTTACAAAAGAATTAGTTTTAAAGGAACTTGTGCTGACACACAGAGCATTGCATGGCCAGACCGCTGACTATTTTTGCCAGCTTGTAACTCAAATATTCTGTTGTTCATTGTCCTCGTTCTGAGACTTTGACTCTCCTGGTTGTACCATGAACTCGATTAAAACTAAAGGGGACCGGGCCTTCCAGTCTGAGGCTCAAAGGCTGTGGAACAGTTTGCTCTTACAGCTTAATTCTGCTGATTCTGTGGAAGCTTTTAAAAAGCAACTAAATACATTTTTTATTTTCCCAGGCTTTTATGTCTTGATTTATTGTCATGTTTTTTGTTTAGTGTGTTTTCTATTGTCCGTCTGTGAAAAGCACTTTAAAAATAAATTTTACTTAAGTGGGACAGATGTTTTTGTCTAAAGAATGAAATGTAAATTACCAACCTAATCTAAGTTTAACACAGAGTGATGTTGAAAAAAAAACTAAAAAGGAAATGCACATTTTTCCTTATCAGGAAATAAATAGGCAAAGACTAAATCTCCAACTACTCATTAGTTAAAACACCCTTTTAAGTCTTATCATTAGTTTAGGATGAATTTTGTTTAAYGAATAATGTTCTAAGAAAACAAATTCTGGGCCAACTTATTACTTGACATTTACAAGCCAAAAACACAGATATACACATCAGATAATACTAGAGATTGAAGAAACAACCAACCAAGCAATTTGCAATAAAATTATAGTRCTGGTGCTTTAAACATTTCATTCACAAAGAAGCACTGAACAGTGTGTGCAAAGCAGTTTTCATTAAAAATAAAATATAAAAACAGTCCTTGGAGGAGGTTTTACTCACTGCAGTGACGAGGGGAAAGGTAATGACAGAAGTCAGATAGTTATTGGCCAGAAACCAGCAGTATGTCCCAACTGTCCACATCAATCCAGACAAAAACCCTGAAGCACAAAAAGATTGTATACTGTACAAAAATAATAATAAAGCAGAGAGCTTGCAGTGTAGTTGCATGAATTTGATGTCAAATGTAGGACAAAATCTGACTGAAATACAACAAAAGTCCTTTCAGTCCCATTTTTAAATATTCATAAAGCATATTCACTAGCTTTAAATAGGTCAGATTTGAAAAGCCAAACTGTAGTCAATGTTTTCCATTTGCAATGAGCTAAAAAGGAGCTGCATGACATTTCCACCACAACAGCTGATTCTTCTGGACTTAGTCAGGGTCAAACTTGAACTATTATTAGCTGCTGCAGTGGCCTACAGAGCACTGCATCTCACAAAAAAATAAGTTGTGGAAAATAAGTGAAAAATCCTTTATGGCGTAGACAACGGGACAGGGCTTAACTCTTCAATAGATTGTTCTTTTTTTCATGTACAGTGCCCTGAGACAATGCATGTTGTGACTTGGCGCTATATAAACCGAATTAAATTGAGTTTAAACTAATTTACCTGAA